GTTAGATGAACACCTTGCTGGGGTCGTTTGACCCCAGTACTCTTTCCTGCCATGGCAGGGGGTCAGACTAGATGATCTTCTCAGGTCCCTTCCGACCCTAGAAACTATGAAACTATGAAACTATGAAGCAATAGCCCCAAACTGCAAATTTCAGAAATGAATCATGGACATGAATTCTTCACATATTTGTGGTTACTTTTTTCCCTGCCAACATCACCACAGTTCTCTCTGGATCAAGCTTCAGAAAACCTTCTTCCTCACCAAACAAAAGTTCATGGGCACAACATTTTACATCAGTGCCTGGGTCAGGTCACATGGAGTAAAGCTGAAAATTATCAAGACATTGAAAGCAGCAGAGCCCATGTTCCCTTTTGTCACAGGACCTGCTGAAGAAGATGGGGTCCACGTTGAAACTTCAAAACCTCACATGAGAGCCTTCAAAACTGAAAAGTAAATGCCTAAAACTCTTTCCTATGGGTAAGACTGATTCCTCTGTTGGGCAGCTACCTCTATTTATGGTCATCAGTACAGAAGGCAGCTGATAGATCTGACACGTTCAGCACAGACACCTGATCTTTGTCCAGGAGAGAGAAATGCACTAAAGATATCACTTCAGTCTCTGTGAAAAATGCTGATTTTATATCCTGAAATATGCTGCTTCTGTGCATTTTCATGCGAAGCTTCATTTAATTAGAAAGGATAAGAAACATCTTTCATTATGATGACACAACAGATTTTTTGCAACTGAAGTGTCTATTAGTATCTTAGTACAACCTCTAGTTTGGATGATCCAGTTTGTTTGAAGAAGACACAGTTGTCTAAAATCTTGTTTTTTTGGCCACTTGATGTTTATAATTGAAAAAATAGTTTATATATTGTGTAGAGTTACTCTGGCTTTTGGTTAGTCTTGTAGCAGTTCTTTAATAGTCCAGAGGATTGCTTCACTGTTTAGTTTAATATTTTTATATTTCCCTGGCATTTTTATCTTCTCATACCTTTGGCACACATTATATTTCTGATACAATTAATGTGTTAACCATGCCATAAATAGCAATATGTCACATGTTCAGCAAATGTATGATGCCATAAAAATGGCACACCAGCCACAAAGATATTACTCAAAACAATTTTGTAGTTGGTTTGTATGGTGCCATAAATAGCACATGTGTCATGTCCCATTAACTGGATGCTGACAAATAGTTGATTGGGTCTGTAATCTGGATCGTGGCTGCCTTGGTCTTGATACTGACAACCAGGACTCAGCACCTTAAAGAGATTTGCCCTGTAGCCCTCTATCTTTAAGGTGCTGGGTCCTGGTGAGCCTCAGGGCATGGGCAGCTCAGGGGGATGATACACATCCCTTGCCTGATTGACCCTGAGGATCAGACTGTGAACAGTTCTGTGTCTGAACCAGGAATGGCATTGCCCAGTGCCAAATCCTGGTGCACCCTACACACTCAGATGAGGGTCCAGCACTGAGCAGCCTTGGAGTCCAGGACAAAGCTTCCACTTGCACAAGTGATGGGATTTGGGCTGGGGGAGCTCCAGGTCCTGAAATCAGCCGTTGCCCCTTCCTATATCTGCAGAGGATACCAGGCATGCAGCTGGGGATGGGGGAGCTTCACCCATCTCTAGCTGTATGTGCTAATTTAAAGAGACACCTGACATATGTAGCTGGGGATGAGGGAGCTTTCCCATCCCCTGCTGTGCTTCTTTAAACTGGGGCTGTTCAGTGGGGAACTGGGGCACGCTCCCATAACCAACTGCACTGTGGGGCTTTGTAAGTTGAATAATGGAATGCCCCTCCTTGATGCTGGGCTTACAGTGCCCAGGGAACTTAAAAAAGCAGGTGGGTATTCATTCAAGACTCCTAGTTGTGTGCCTACTTTTTAAAGGTCTGGGGCACTGTGAGTTTGATATCAGAGAAGGGCTCCATGATACTGGGCTTATGGTACCCTGGACCTTTAAAAAGCGAGCATACAGCTGACAGCCCCATCTATGTACCTGCTTTTTTATGTTCCCAGGTGCCCCTGGAAGTGATATCTGGGGAGCCCCTGGCTCTCCAGCTGCTGTTTTAATGCTTGCAGTGGGGGTGCAGTTAGGAAACAGGGAGTTTCCCACTCCACAGCTGTAGATGCCCCCCTTCACAGGCAGTTGCCAGCTGTGCAGCTGGAATTTGAGGAATTTTATTTCCCATTCCCAAAATTGCATGACCTGCCATGTACATGTGGGAAATGGGACATAAGACTCCACAGACCCTACTCATGCAACTGCCGCAACATCTGCCAGCAGCTTCAGTTTATTACATTCCTATTAATAGAGATGCAACATTTATAAATTACTAGATAAGATAAACATGAGGGTTTTTTCATTAAACAATTAATCAAATTTATGACAATGGAAAAGTCTTAATGAAATAAAAAGGTTTACCATGCTTGGTTGCGGATTCTTCATGCTGAATCAGGTCTGGAAGTGTTAATCATATGAACTGCACCTAAGGACACTACAGTTGGCTCTTCCCCATATAGCTTTCAAGAAATTCTTAAAATAGAAGGAAGGATCAAGGGAGAATATATAATAATAAGAAAGAAGTAGCTGGAAAATCTTTCTGTTTCGATTGGAATTGCTGGAGCCCTTGGGTCTGGGAAATAAATGTTTCCTGGGAGAAAAGAGTTTTTCTCAAGAGGAAGGAAATTCATATTACAGATCTACTGTATTAAAAAACAAAAAAAAATCATGAGTCAGAATCACTAAAGTTGGAAAGTTGGTTTTAAATTAGTTTTTTTTTAAATATTTGAAATTGATTTTTGATTTTGAGTCTTTGTGGTTCACCATGATTTTAAGCTATGAAGAAAAGTTCTGAGTTCCAGACATTTAGAACTTATATACAACTTTATTCAAGGGCTACAGTTCAGTTTTGCTTGAATAACTCTATATGTGGACACTCTTGTTTATTGTAGAAATAGCTAACCTGGTTTTAATTCATACCTGCTCAACAAAATTAACTTCCAAGTGTAACAAGTCATTTTTTAAATGACAGCCAGTTGCCAATCTAGGGATAATCAATCAGTTCAGAGGTACAAACTGGAAACATGTAGCAAGAAAGGGAGTGCACAGTTGTTCCATCCCCATGGCTAGAGTGAGCAACAGTCACCATAATGCCAAAATCTCCAGCCAGGGTGTGATAGTGAGCTGATCCTTTGCTCCCCTGCCCTGATGGCAGACAAGGTGTTTCTATCTGATGCCATGTGGCATTAGCTGGAGGCAGTGTATGGGGCGAGGTAGCCCCTGGCTGCCTGGGGTCAGGGACATGCTCCCTACCTCTTTCCTGCTGTGGGTGAAACTGCAGCCCTGGCTGCTGCCCTCAGATTGAAGCTTTCCTGGCCCCATGGATAGGACACAGCTCCTTTGCCTCCTATATCCCCTGGCCTGGGCCTGTTGGTCAGCTGATGCAGATCCCCCCATGGCACTCCTACACAGTTCCCCAATCTATGACTGGGAAGGGGACAGCAGCTCTGAGGACAATGATACCTAGCCACCGAGTGGGTTACCAGGGAGCTAGCCACTTTCCTCCTTCCTCCCCTTGGGGTAAGGGAGGGAAAGATCCAGACTGGTGGTTGCAGGGCC